GAATTTAGCACCAAATCAAATGACATTCTCAAAAACACTTTAAAATTTTTATTTTCTCAACTGGACGTCTGAATCACGTCAAATCAACTCCGTTTCTCACCAAATTTCACAGATAAGTCTTAAATATCATAATGAACCTGTGCCGGGCTCCGAAACTAAAATACGGACCCAATAATAACAATGTCAATTATCAATCAATTCTTAAAAATAAATAATTCCCAAACTTTTTAAATTTTCATCAAAAATTCATAACTCAAGCTAGGGACCTCCGAATTCGATTCCGGGCATACGTCCAGGTCCCATAATTCGATACGGACCTACCGGGACCGTCAAAGCACGGATCCGGGCCCGTTTACCAAAACTATTGACCGAAGACAACTAAAATTAATTTTTAAGACAAAAATTCTTATTTTCATTAGTTGTTAACATAAAAGCTTTCCGAAAACCTGCCCGGACTGCGCACGCAAATCGAAAAGGATAAAAATGAGATTTTTAAGGCTTAAGAGCGCAGATTTGAGTTCTAAAATATAAGATGACCTTTTGGGTCATCACACGACGCCTGTGGTGGGATTTTTCGGTCGTGACAAAATCCCTTAAATTTTCTCATTGCTTACCTGGAATAACCTATTTAATAACTCACTTGGGAGTGTGCGAGGCCTGAAAAAAGCCATCAAAATGGCACACCTAACATAATATAATGGCTAATTAGCCTAACCCTCTTTCAATTTTTTTTAAAAATATTCTCTTTATTTCCTTTATCCACCTTTAATTTCTTCCTTATTTTTTCACTATTTTTCCTTATTTTTTTCACCTTTCTTTTTTTCCCACCTTCTTCTTCTTCTTCTTGCCTTTTTTCTTCGGTTCTCCATATGGATTCCCTCTAAAAGAATTTCTCCCTCACTTGTTTTCTCTGAAATGATTTATTCACTCTCTTGTTTTAATCTTTTCATGTTTTGCACATCTTATTGAAATAACATTCATTTAAATCTTTTTATTAAATCCAACACCTTATAGAGAATAAAGTTGATTCTCCTGAATCTTGTTTGTGCAGTCTAGAATTAGAGAATGTTGTTGTTGGCCGGTTGTTTTCTTATTTGCTAAATCTTATTTTGTGTAATCTTGTTTACGTAACATAAGATGATTTTTCAGATATACAACACTATATGCCTTTAGTTTTTTTTATTGTACTACAAAGTGAATGCAAATAAGGACCTATTCAATTGGAGCCTTACATGAAGCACAACCATAATTAAACCTAAAATTAACACATTACATTGGATATTATTTTGACTGAAATTCCTAGAATTAATCAGTCATCCGAGAGTAACACATCATGAGTAAACTACATAAAAAATTTAGTATAAACCATAAGTTAACATAGTTAGATCGGTAGATGCACTTCTAAGAATTCAATATGGGGTTTTAATATATAAAACAATATAGTTCAGAGGGGATTTTGGCGATACAGATAGTTTAAGTAGGTAACTGACAAAAAAATAATAGTTTAGAGGGATTTTAGGCTGAATTAAATAGCCACGTATAGTGTCATGCACCTTTAAGAAGGCAACGATGGGGTTTTAATACGAAGGGCAATACAGTTCAAGGAGGTTTTGGGAATGCCAAAAAATTTAATTAGAAAACTGACAAAAACGTGATAGTTTAGAAAATTTCTAGGATATTAATTCTTTTAAATATGAAATGCATTGTATAAAAAGGTTTGATGTCTATCAAGATTTAGAATATGTGCATTCAAATATGCACAAATGATACAATTACTTGATGAAAAACTAGTAGAATGGGGAGCTTGCAAATATTAGTTAACAAGGAAAATTAATTATACATATTATGTACTATACCATACTTATAAACTATATATTGGATGCAATCTAAAATTGATTTATGATGGAATGACAATGAAAATGAATTATAAATTTATAATGCTAGCCAATTGTGCTGGAGGATTTTAGGTAAGCAATTAGGTTACCACTAATATGGGAAATCTTCCTATTTTTAGCTTTTTATTCATAGCAATAATCTTGGTTGGGGTATAAATAAAATAACATGTAAATAATTTAGTTGCGCAATTTGTAATAAGTAAATTAGTTGTAGTTTATATAATTAATTCTTATAGGTCGTGTATCTATTAAAGTCATCCAATAATCTACTTTTACTCTACTTGTTTAATTAGAATAATTACATTTTAAGTCTTATTCTTTTTTTTTTTTTATGGTATAGCCTGTTAGGCCAAGCTTCTCCAAAGCCAAAAATATTTTTTTTTTCAAAAAAGGTTTTTTTTTTTCAAAGTTGAAGTGTTTGGCCAAGCTTTTAGGGGAAAACAGTATTTTTGAGTGGAAGCAGAAGCAGTTTTAGAGAAGCAGAAAAAAGTAACTTCCCCCAAAAATACTTTTGAGAAAAATATAATTAGAAGTATATTTTAGAAGTTTAGTCAAACACTAATTGCTGCTCAAAAATACTTTTCAAAGTAATTAGCCAAACACAAACTGCTTCTCACTAAAAGTACTTTTGAGAAAAAAATACTTCTCAAAATAAGCTGATTTTTGAAGCTTGGCCAAACAAGCTATTAATGTCTCAGCCCATGGACTAGCCCAACCCAACCCCATAAGGCGGATGAAGTATACAAATAGCCCTCAAAGTGGATAGTCTTAAATTTTTGCGCACATCCCCTCCCACTCTCATGGACATAACTTCAAGTTTAACAAGTGTTGCCACTTGCTTGCTCCATAAGCAACGCTTTTAACTTTTGATCTTAAAGTTCTGCCTACGAGGCAAGTGGGGGTCAAAAGTTAAAGATCAACCCAAAAAGTGCATATTCTACAATTATTTTTACATAAGGCCATGCCCTAACTTGGGTCGGGCTGGGCTGAAAGCCCCATACTTAAATGGGCTAGAAGTCTAGAACAACGCCAAACCTATTCTAACTCAGCTAGTGGCTGGTTTTGGGACAACCTAACGGGCCAAACTATTTTGATGGCGCTATTCATACACTTAAATATGTAAAAATTGCATGGGGCACCCTATTTGGCCGTCCCTTTTTAACTTATACCCGTTTTATTTTTCCGTTTGCATTCGTACATATTTTTTTGTTAAAAGCGTTTTAAAAAGACGGTTTTGCCCTTCTTTAATAAAAGACTATTGACAAACTGCAGGACAAAAACTTAAGCATATTTAGGCTGAAATTTTAGCAAATAAACTAAAAAACTTCAGCTTGTTTAGACTGAAATTTCAGATAAAACTCAGGACAAAACTATAAACTGCGTTACAAAACTTCAGCATATTTTGGTATGAAGTTTTAGCAAATTAACTAAATAACTTCAGCATGCATTAGCAAAACTCTTTAGAAAATTACATACTGCAAGATAAAAACTTAAGCATGTTTAGTATGAAGTTTTAGCAAACGAACTAAAAAACTTCAGCATGTTTAGTCTGAAATTTTTGCAAATGAACTAAATAACTTCAGCATGTTTTGTCTGAAATTTTAGCAAATAAACTAAATAACTTTAGCATGCATTAGAAATTACATACTACAAGACAAAAACTTAAGCATGTTTAGTCTAAAATTTTAGCAAATGAATAAAAAAAACTTAAGCATGTTTAGTCTGAAGTTTTAGCAAATAAACTAAATAACTTAAGCATGTTTAGTCTGAAGTTTTAGCAAATTAACTAAATAACTTCAGCATGTTTAGTCTGAAATTTTAGCAAATGAACTAAATAACTTCAACATGTTTAGACTGAAATTTCGGATAAAATTCATGACAAAACTGTAGACTGCAGGATAAATAAAACTTCATGCTACATTAGCATGAAGTTTTAGCTTCAACATGAAACAACTTCATGCTACATTAGCATGAAGTTTTAGCTTCAACATGAAACAACTTCATGCTACATTAGCATGAAATTTTAGCTACAAGGTGAAACAATTTCATGCAAGTGTGATTCTGAAGATGAATTTGGACAAGTTTCTGATTTTTTTATAAAGTTGCTGAGAGGAGAGGAGGAGATAGTTTTATATCTTTTGTCAGGGGTGTAATTGTCATATTATTACAGATTTTTTGTGAGATGGCTATCAAATCAATAATTTTAAAAAATAGAGTACAGGTTAAAAGGTGGCACAAATATAGGGTACGGCTGCAAATCCCCCCTTAAATATTTAGCTCCACACACTCCTAAGGTTTTCTCAAAACAAAGTTGAATCTAATCTTAAAATTCCTTTTGTCCCAATTAGAGTTAAAGTAATTTTCTTCCACTTGCTGGATGCTCTTCTGCATAAACAAACCCAGCAACCATTTCTTTTCTAGCTCAACTGAAGTTATGTCATGTGTCTAGGGGGTTATCTTCACATGCTCTTAAGGAACAGAACATTTTCTTTAGTTTGTCTAATTAGTCCTTCCTGTATATATAGCTGGTCTGACTCGGTTTGTTGCCCTTATAATATTTTATTTTGGCAAAACACATAGATAGACATTTAAAATTTGGCCTCAAGTATCAGTTTGACACTTAAAACTTATTCAGTGATCATCTAGTCCAACTTAAAACATAAGATTTTCCATCTATGAAAGTTGCATCAAATTGACAATTGTGACCAAGTTTAATAAGTGTCTATCTATGTATGTTGTTTTTTATTTTTCATAGGATTCCTCACTTTTGTCTTCTCTACCTCTTTAGATCTCACAATGCATCAACCCTAAAACAACGGAGTTAAGGTGTGATCACATGAGTTGTCTTAACTATTTCTGAACATTTTCTTCTCATTTTAATAAGAAATAATTTTCGACATGTCAACTACTCAACTAGATGGCTGATTTAGAAATGTATACCTACTCTCCTACACTAATGTTTCTTCTAATTATTATTCAAATATAATGATTCTTATTTAGATCTATCAATGAATGACAGACTCTGCTCTTGTAGTCAATATCTACTCAATACGATGATCAATTGACATGTCGATGTAGTATTTCTTCCCCCTTTTGTATACCTTCTCTATTGGCCTGCTTTTGTGATTTATTTCGTTTCTCTATAACATTCCTTCTGCAATCATTAATCGTGATGCTTCCATTCATCTTGTCTTTTTTCTATCAAACATTCTCATCCCTTCCTTCACAACCTGTGTGCGATTTTCAGCTTTATGAAATCTAACAATGAAAACCCCTTGTTAATTTGGGCAATTTTATCAATCCTAATGCTCCCCATATACGTCGGGAGTATCCTCCGTAACAATTTACGGAGGGTTAAATCCGAAGACATAGCATATCACCATTGTATTCTAGTACTCAACCTCTTCCTGTATGTCATCCATAGTGATTTTCACATTCACAATCCCCTTTCTGTCCTGGTTTAGATAGAAACCCTCCTCTCCCTAGGCACAAATTTTGTAATCTGAAGTGAGATGGCTTGGGAAAAAGATTTTAAAAAAAGGATGATAAAGACATAGAAACCTTGAATTTTCTGTTTCAACAAAGAAACTCTTGCATTATCATGAACAACATAAGGCACTAAGTACTAAATGTTAATAAAAGCGGCTCTGAGTAAAAAAACGTAAAAGATTAAGTTCTCATCAATAGAAATAACAATTGAATATTAGACATGACAATTGACATCATAGCTCATTGATTGGGTTCGAATGGTTTATTTTCTTTGAAAATCATGTTAGACGACTTCATGCTCGTGCATAAACATAATTTTGTTATTTTACTCTTGCAGTCTACGAAGTATGAATTTTACGATCCAAAAGCTCCCTTTTTGATATCTCCTAGGTTACTTCTACAATCCAAAAAAAAGAAGAAGAGAAAGAGCACAACTTAGTTTTTCCTTTTCTAAGTTACTACCACCATATTACCTGATGGTTGATGCCACTTGTCGTTCATACATCTCCTTAAAAATTTCTATCGCTCTCTCTAATTTGTATTTTGTCCCGAGGTAACATTGACAAATTTACTAATGGGTCGCAACCAGTGGCGAAGCCAGGATCTCCGCGAAAGGGATTCAAGAAAAAAAGATTATAGCTAGTGAAAATTGAACATATGACTTTTCAAAGATTTTGAACTCCCTTGACCACTAAGCTACACTTTTGGGTTGTCAAGGGGTTTCAAAACTTAATATATAGAGGTAAAAAATAAATTTTGCCTTATATATACAGTGTAATTTTTCGGCGAAGGGGGTTTGGGTGAACCCCTTCCGCCCCCTAAATCCGCCCCTGGCAGCAATACCATGAAACTTGGATAATAAAATCTTTTTTGTCCCAAAGGTTCTTCCTTTCAACTTGTTGTTCACAAGTTGAAATAAATAGTAATTATAGCCAAGAAATAACTAATCTTTCACTCAGCTTATCATCAAAATAACTTTGAAAATAACTAAATGAATATGCTACAACCAGTTAAACTATACGAAATGTTTTTACACGGTCAATATATCTACTGTGATGCTATAGCGTATCCCTTTATCAGGTCTCAATTTGATTAATTTTACACTTACACCTTTTGTATTTGATTTTATTTTCAAAATAAAACATATTTACTTTTTGATTTATTGATCAACTATGCCGTTTAATTTATAGTGACAAAATTGAGCAGTCAAATCAAAGCTGAAAGAAGAAAGAATACGAATAACCTTGAATGTTATCTGTTAAATTATACTAAAATCTGTACAAATTTTATGCCTCACTTGACTTCAACTTAGCTTTAACAAAATAAACTTTAGAAGATGAAGAGAGTACATTGGTCTGATCTGTTAAAACTTATAGTTTAGCATGTAAGATATGTTAGTTTTTATTGAACTATATATTCGTCAAATCTTTTGCAACCCTATACACAGGCAACAAGGGAAATGAAATCAAACAAACAAAGAACCCAAAAATTTCCCAAATAAGCTGACATAACAAATTCAACACACCTGTGGACGAAGTAGCTGAGAAAATGGAGTAGATTAAAAAAAAAACGCACCGAAGAGAGAATGAAACCAGAGGATAAGATACAGAGACGTAATAAAGCGGTAGCAGCGGAGTGCAAAATTACGTAAATAATCTTTCCTGAAAAACACAAATCAGCCAGTGCAGGGACACAACAGTAATTTTACCTAATATATGAGCACTGCAAATATCAAATTGCCCTCCGTCGGCAAGCAGGGATGTCGATGGAGAGCTGCAGAAGTAGGAAAATAGTGATTTTGATTCGATTTCTATTGATGATTTTTTATTTTTAAACTTTATATTGATAGCCCTTTCAAGTTAAAGATATAACAGTACCCCCAATAAATAAATAAATAATAACGCTCAAGAAAAGTTGCCAAACAAAGTATTAGCAAGATATTAGAATATAAGAAAGGAATTTAACGGTAGGTTACCTCATAAGCAATACATATTCTACTTGTCAACGAAGATCTGGAATTCAGATCTTTGGTAATCTTCAACTTGCATTGTCCTGATCTCCTCGACTGAAGCAACAAGAGCTTCATTGCAAGACGTTACCCTAACAAACTTGAGAGAAGCGATTTCCGCGAACCAAGAGGGGATCTCCTTAAGATATTTGCATTTATGCAATGTCAAATGTTCAAGACAAGGAAAGGCATCATCCGAGACATTCCACTCGTTAAAATTATCAGAGTTTACTACTTTCAACACTTTGAGTTTAGGGAACTCATTGTCGTTCACTGTCCATTCGCCTTTATCAAACTCAACATTTACCAGTTTAAGTACCTGAAGATTGGGAAGCATAGCAATCTCTGAACCAGTGCCCCAGAAAATGGTGGACAAAGTCAATTTGTTGAGATTTGAGGGGAAGATGTAAGCACCAGCTATGGCTGAATGCACGTCAAAATGAACCTTGAGCGTCTTAAGCTGTGCTAGAAATTCCAATTGAAGGACCCAAAAGTTTACTTCAGGATACTTAATTGAGCATCTCAGATTCCGAATATTTGGTGTCTTTCTCAATACAAATTCTGCATCCTCCGCACAAGAAAAACATGGACAGGAAAGAGTCTCCAAATTGTCAAGATTGGAGGAGTTCTCAAGTGATTCTTCTGCACCATTAATGGTGAAATAAGCATTGTCACAAATATGCAGAATTCTCAATTTAGACATCTTCCAGAGTGTAAACGGTAGTGACAAGTATGTCCCTTCCCCTTTGACTATCAAAGTCCCAAGGTTCCATAGATTGCTTATGCATGATGTAATTGACTTCTTCGCAGTTCGTACTGCAAAATACCTCAAGTAAACCAGCTCTGTTGGGAAAGAATCAACAACGATGAACTTCAGATCCAACACTTTTAGAAACTTGAATTTCTGAAAGATGCGCGAGGTTGGAGAGAGGTATTCTATGATATCATCCCTGCAAAGTACAGACCCAACAAGTGAGCAAGACGAACTCCATTTTGCAAGATCATTCTTGTCAGCATAAATGGACAGGCGACCTTGAGCTAGCTGCCGGTGTGAGTAAATGCCAGGTGAAGGATTGGCACTTTGGTACCTGTGAACATCAAATTAGCATAAGATTAAATTTCAAATATAACAGGAATACTTGATTGATTGAACAAACAAAGAAATAGAAAATTACAGTTTTACCTATCTATGCAGAGTAGAAGCTTTTCCTGCTCAGCTGTTTCCTTGCAGAAATCAAGCAATAGATCATGGATCTGGCATGCTTTGACCTTGCCATCAGAACTCCTTTTTGCAATTTTCACTAGATTTCGTCCAATAAGATTCTCCAAGTAATCTGATGCTACATCCTCCAAACTCTTATCTTTATCAATTTTTATGAATCCTTCTGCCATCCATAAGCATGTCAAGTCTGAAACATTGATCGTCCTGTCTTCTGAAAATGCTCCAAAATAAAGGAAGCAAGGCTTTAAATGATGGGGTAAATGTTTATAACTGTGCTCTATCATAGCCTTTGCGTCACTTTGAATGTGGGAACCTAAATTCTTAGCGACTTGTCTCCAACATTGTTCATTCTTTTCCTTTGCGAGAATACCAGCCACCAAAACAATTGAAAGAGGCAGCCCTGCGCACTTCTTTGCTATTTCTAGCCCAACCTTTTCAAGATCAGGAGAGCATCCTTCGTTACCAAACACTTTCTCTTTCAGCAATTTCCAACTTTCGTCTTCCTTAAACATAGGAAGATGAAAGGGCTCACAAGAAATTCTAGCTGAGTTGGCAACTTCAACTTGTCGTGTTGTTAGAATAATTCGACTTCCGTTATTAACATCCGCAAAGCAAGGCTGTAAATCTTCCCACACACTAGCTTCCCATATGTCATCGATAAGGATAAGATATCTTTTCACTTTACAAATTTTTTGAAGCTTATCTCGTAGATCTTCAGTAGACAATTCACTAGCAGCAGGGTCATCACAAGAAAGATCACGTAAAATGGCCAATAAAATGGACCTACATGAATACTCTTGCGACACGCAACATTGCGCCCGAATATCAAATCGAGATTTAACTGAGTCATCATTAAAGAGTTTGTTGGCCAATGTCGTCTTACCTTGTCCGCCCATGCCGACAATCGAGATGACGTCTAGCTGTTGGGATCCTTTAGTTAGCTTCTTTCTTAATTCTGGAACGATATGATCAAAGCCCACGATTTCTTCATTCTTTAGGGACGTAGATTCTGATGATGTATGAGCAGCGTCTGCATCCACGGGATCATGTAATGCTATGTCAACGGCAGGTGTTTTCTTCAATTGAACATCTATTTTTGATCTGTTAAGTTTAATTTCATCTATGATATCAACGAGCCAACGCTCAAGACACCACTCGGGAACTTCTTTGCTGATAAAAGAATCGACTATATATTCCACTTCATATGCTGTGCCAATCACTAACTGAGCCAAATGTTGAATTTCGTGGTGCTTATGTCGCTCTTTTGCAACATCCTTGAGAAACGGTTGCACGCTCTCAAGTTCCTTCTGAATTATTTGAAGTTGGTTCTTGATAGAAACAAGTGACTTTGAATAACGACCTTGAAACTCATTCAGGTTGCTTAAAAGGAAATCAACATAGCCTATTCCGTGAATCCGTGGCAAATTAGATTGGAATACCTTCTGAACTATGGGATAAATCACAGTGTTGAAATGCTGAATATTTCCGGGAAAATCAAGCAGTGCTTGGTTCACTTTGGCCGATGCAACATCATATAACGAGTAAACTAGAATTCCAGCATCAATAATCATAATGTGGAGATCTTCAAAATGAGATTCAAGATGTTGCATCGGCGTATAGGGGAGATTGGCTCGCAAGAGGTTGAGCATCTCCTGAAGGTTTGCTGTTTCATCTTTCAAAGCAACTGTAGTGTTACCAATTGCTGGTAGCTCCACCAAGTTGTGCAGGACAGTCTCCAAAAAGGCAGTTTCACTGTTTGTTGTATTCTCATTTTGGATATCGGGACGCCATCCTGATTGTGATGTTGACTTTAAAGCTTGCAGAACATCAACGTAGATCTTGCGGATACTTGGCTCAATAGGCTTAATCCTCATTCGCAGGTGATCAGAAAGCAAAGCATTCATTTCACCAGAAGCCAAGTCTTGAGTTCCATTGTCAGTGCCTGGTAAACTCAACCAGACAAGCATGGCTGCATGGCCAGCCACAACAAAAATATGAGTGAAGAAATCATGATGGCAACTCTGAGGCTCTTTGCATCTCTTTGCAACAAAGCAGACAAAAGCTCTCAGAGACTTCAACTCTTCTAAAACTTCTACTATTTGTTCCTTGGGTCCTGGAACAAAAAGTACAGAACGGCCATCATAAATATTCAGTAAATCACTGAGAATACACACAACAGTGCCCATAAATTCAGGTACAATTTCGGAAATAGCAACACCATTCTTGCTGGCTGAAAGGGGCAATGATGTTTTCGGAAAGGAGTAATTGGCTCTGATTTCCGACTTGATCAAACGAATGTCGCCTTCCATCTGATAGATGGACGGATAAAAATTTGGAGAAGTCAAATTAAGAGTGGAGAGATCAACTCGAGTATCGTGAAGTAGAGTTTGTGCTTTTTGTGTGACATCCAAAGTGTCACATTCAGCTTTGGAGCTCTGTAAATTGAGGAAAATATCCAGGAATCTCAACTCCCTTTCAAGGAACTCGATTTGATCCTTTGCAACCTCAAGGGGAAACATCTCTTTTCCTTTTTCTTATCAGAAGTGTTGGTAATAAAAGAACCGTTGTGAATTTGACAGTGAAGAAAGAAGGGCAGTTGAATCACAGACAACTGATACAACCTTAAAAAGAAAAATTCTCTTCTCTTCTCTTTGGCTTTCTCTTATTCAGAATTTTATCTTCATCAGGACGCTAATGTTTTCATCTATCATTTTAGGAGTTTTTAGCCAAAATTGGCTTGAGCACTTATTCTCCTTTGAGTTTGTTAGATTAGGTTTAGTTCATTTAACAAAAGACCACCTAAAAATTATTAGTGATTTCACTGAGTCAACTGGGTAAAGAAACTTTTGGTACTCAAATTTTACAGAATCGATATAGTAAAACTAAACCTATTTAACGGGCCGGATTGACCCGGTTTTGAATCGGCCCGGACCGATGGAACGGGGCGGGTAGGGCTGGGTTTGGAGGTTAGGGATTAGTCGGTATATATTTTTTTACCGGTCAAACCCGGCCAATAAAAATTACTGTTGGTCCGGAACCGGATCAATCCGACCCGTTAAACAGGTTTAGGTTCACTACATCGTTTCTATAAAATTTGAGTATTGAAAGTTTTTTTACCCAGTTAACTCACTGTTAGTTTTTAGGTTTCCATTTTGATCTTTTGTTTTGGATTAAATCTGTTAGAGTTTAGCAAACTTAAAAGATAATAAATGCTCAATGCAATAGATCAACGACAAAGTAGATAAAGGACAATTTTGGCTAACATATTGTATATTTTATTACATAGTCACCTCAATTATATGCATCCACATTATTTGTCCCCGTACGATTCGGATTTTTTTACTTCCTAGTTCTTGCAGTTTCATATCCTTGGATTTTTTTAATTGTGCTGACAGTCTGTCAGCCATCAACTTGACATATAAACAATTCAGTAACAGATAAGAATCAGTACATTAAATGATTACAATAATATATATAAAGCTTACTTTGTTCCATAATCCAATTTCCTTTTTGTCCTCCGATACTATCATTAACCACAGGTGTTTATAATCACACAAACAAGTTAGGTATTTTTTAATTTGTTTAAAATTATAAATTCATAAAAAATTATTTTTTCTTAAATTTTGTATTCAATCAAACTGATTAAACATAAGAGTATTATTAAAAAGAAAAAAGGCCTTTTCAGCTGGTTAGTAGAGCCCACTTTCATTTTTTCTTTACTAGTAGGGTCCCGACACCCGTGGTTCCTAGGCGGCTGTGTTTTCCAATCCTTTTCTTTTAGTGCTTCGCGATAACTTCTAGATAAGATGGCTGCGCTCCGGCTCATTAAATAATGTAAGCAAATCAATCAAAGAATGTAAATAATCACTCACAGTGATATACATCTCAAATCAAAACATTATTTATTAAAATCAGAAAAATAATGTTAAGAAATAGTTCATTCGAACCACAACTTATCTCCAGTAATATTGAATGCCCCACTTTGAAATTTCAAGCGGAGGAGGAAGCGTTGTCGGCATTAATTGGTGGTTTCAACGGTTCTTCTTCTGGAAAAGAAAAATGCAGAGAATGGCACCGTTTGTCCACCAGAGCCATTTTTGTTCAATTAGCGTAAGGCAAAATACCTTAACACCCCTAAACTTAGACTGATTATTAGTTATAACCTTGAACTATTTGTGGTTTTAATTATCCCTCAACTTGGCCTTTTAAAAGTCATTGCCTCTGGACGCTAATGTGGTAAAAAGTGTGAGTGCACTTGCCTGCCACATGAATTTTTCTGTATATGTAACATTTTTTTTAAATAAAATATATTTTTACCTTTTTAAGTATGTTACTTTTTTGGATAATATTTTTCGAATACAATTTATAATAAAACTTGGATATAACTACATTATTTAGGCTAAATATTTTTATTTTTGGCTAAAAATAATAAAATCTTAGTTAATCTTTTTTTGAATTTGATCTGAAAATAAAGATTTATACAATTGAAATAAATAGTCATGTGTATTTTCTTATAACTTTTTAGATGCCTTGACTATTTATTTCAATTGACTATTTATAACATATACTCATGATAGTTATCTCATACTTTTTTATTATTTTTTTTTCTTCTTGTAATCCTTTTGTCGGATTTACATTTGTACTTACATTTATCAAATTTTCATATGAATATAATGGGAATGAGGTAATTAGGTAATTTGACATAAATACTTTACTTAGAGGTCCATTATTTCTTGTGAGAAGATGTCCATAGGTTTAAACAGAAATTTCAAAATAACTAAATCAATTAATCTGAAATCTCTAAGAAAACAAACCAAACTAAGATTATTTGGTTTGGTATTTCATAACCGAAAAATTGAACCGGAGTTTTCATAATCCAATTCGAAGTGCCTGATGTCAGAAAAAACGTGTGTATTTTTTTTATAACTTTTTAGATGCCTTGACTATTTATTTCAATTGTATAAATCTTTATTTTCAGGTTAAATTCAAAAAAGATTAACTAAGACTTTATTATTTTTAGCCAAATAAAAATATTTAGCCTAAATAATATAGTTTTATCCAAGTTTTATTATAAATTATATTCGAAAAAAATTATCCAAAAAGGCAACATACTTAAAAAGGTAAAAATATATTTTATTTTTAAAAAAAATGTCACATATACAGAAAAATTTATGTGGCAGACAAGTGCACCCACACTCTTTGCCACATCAGCGTCCAGGGGGTAATGGCTCTCAAAATGCTAAGTTGAGGGAGGTAATTAAAACCACAAATAGTTTAAGATTGTAACTTGTACTAATAATCCGTGTCAAGTTTAGAGGTGTTAAAGGTATTTTTCCTTAGCGAAACTAGCCAGGTCACCAAAACAGGAAATTAGAGATAGAAAGACTTGGGGTTATTTTTAATAATTTAAAAAGCCTTCTCAAATCTACTGAGAGGTTAATAAATAGTACTACTATAAAGTAGAATATTGTCGAAAAGAATATAACTTAGTGGGCAATAGTAAAATTCCAAAATTTATATCTTCAAATAAAAATTAGAATATGGTCATTGATTTCGAAAAAAATAAATTTTTTTCAAAAAAAGTGAAAAAAATTCATATGTCCAAACAAGCTCTTAATTGTTTAAAACTGTAACTTAATTTTCAAATACATATAGTGTTTGGCTAAGTTTATAAGTTGGTCAAACTGGTTTATAATCATCTTTTAGCTTATCTACACATTTGATAAAGACCAAAAATGCTTATAAGCCAAGTGCTAAAATCAGTCATAGGCTATAAGTTGGTCACTCCCAACTTGTGATTTTTTAGCTTATAAACAATTATAGTTTGACCAATACTTCTATTAATTTAACCTTAATAATATTTTCTAATTCACAAAATACTTTTCTCAAAATAAATTTTTCGGCTTTCTCTTTATTCCATATTCATGGTTAATTCTTTTCTTTACAAAGAATTTTTTTAATTTATAATCTTTTGAAAACAATTCAACGACATTTTAGTTATTTTAATAAAAATATAACTTATCAATATTTTTTCATCAAACACATCAACTGCTTATTATCAATTTTAGCACTTGCATCCAAACACATAAATACGTATTTTAAAAATCAATTTCAGCACTTAAAATATTTTTTCATATTAAAAGCTAATTAGCTATTTATAATCGGCTAATCCAAACGGGGTCTTAGCGGGTGATTTTGATTCATAAATAATTAAAAAAAAAGAAGAAGATTAGGAAAATAATAACAATCCCTGCCCTGCATTCTTTAATCTTCATAAACAAACAGCTATGGTAAAGTGAAGTTTCATTGCCCAGAGCTAAAGAAAGTATATATATCCTCTCCATTTACTTTCTTGCTACCCAAGAAATTAAAAGCAGATGGCAGATACAGCGTTGAATCTTCTGGTGGAGAACCTCTTGGATTCAGTAAGAAAAAAAGCGAAGTTAATTGCAGAAAATTCGAAGCTGCAGATTGCTGGTTTAGAGGATGACTTTTTACATCTTGAGGAAGAAGTTCAACGCCTACGAGCGCTCCTAAAAGTTGCTGCACAATGGCAGATAAATAGCAGTAAGTGGAAACAGTTGGTCAATAAGGACATCCGATTTGCGGTACATAAAGCTGAGGATGTCATTGATGTCTTCGCGATTAGGGCGCAGCGTTGCCTTGAGAGCGGCTTTGGAGTTCTCGGATTTCTTAGTATAAGAAGAGACTCAGTCAGGAATCTTGCAACTAAGATCGACGGCCTCAATGAGAAGGTGAAGGAATTTCTTCAAAACAATCAACCAGCAGTTCAGCCGGAAACAAATTCCCAGGAGCTGCAGGTATGCCTGAAAGCTGAAACTCAACCCATTTGAAAACTTATAAGTTGACTGACCTTCTGTATGATAACTATGATTAACCCATTTTGGATCGCATCTGTGGAGTCACAGGGAGTCACAGATGCGAGCCTTGGACTGTAAAAGAGGGCTCGCACATGTGAGACTTGTTGTCGCAAATGCGACATCACTGGCATAATGTTAATGGTGTCATAAACATTGACCATTTGGTGGGCTATGGAAAATGAAGTGTCGTGGGAGTAATGGAAATAAAGATGAATAAGTTATATTTCAAGGGGTAATTGACATCTAAGGTTAATGTAATTTACAACAAAAATTAAGGCTTTTTATATCACTGAAAGCAAGTAATAACTTAATATAGACGTTTTATTTCTAATTGCCAAAACAAAAGATTTTCAACACTGATTTATGATGTCAATCGGTTTTGTTATCTTAAAAGGATCTTCCACTCAAGGAAAACGAAGTTGTTGGCTTAGAAGAAGAAGCAGAAAAAGTGATCAAGCGACTTGTTGAAGGATCTGAGGAGCTCAATGTTGTCCCTGTTGTAGGTATGCATGGACTTGGTAAAACAACATTGGCAATAAAAGTTTTTAACGATCCTCAGATTTTAAATCAATTTGACAGCAGAATATGGGTTTATGTTGGCCAATCATATGAAATAAAGGATATCTTTATCAATATCCTCACATGTTTCATAGATCGCATTGAAGAATACCAAGACAAAGATGTGAATGAAATAGCTAAGGTAATATGTGATTTTGTGCCTAAAGAAGGTAAATGTCTCATTGTCTTGGACGATGTCTGGGCAATAGGTGTTGTCGATTTTGTCAAGAAAACTTTCCCTGAAAACAGCAAAGGACACCGGATCATGATGACCACTCATAGGCAAGATGTGGCTAGTTGTGCCAATCCAAATCCTCACGATCTAAAATTTCTGACCCAGACGGAAAGTTTTCTATTGTTGAAAAGCAGAGTTTTCGGTACTGGATGTTTTCCTGAAGAATTAACAGATCTTGGAGAAAGCATTGCACAAAAATGTTGTGGGGTACCACTTGCAATAATAGTAATTGCAGGAGCTTTAAGAGGTCGTAAGGACAAAAACAATTGGCTCAAAGTTCAGAAATATTTTTGGCAGCACCTTATAATTAAAAATGACCCTGTAAGATGCTGGAAGTTTGTTGAAATGAGCTACAATTGTTTGCCCCAAGAAATGAAGGAGTGCTTCTTGTATTGCGGAACTTTTCCTCGAGGCTTTGATATCCCTGCTTGGAAATTGATCCGTCTCTGGATTGCAGAGGGGTTGATAAAATCCAGCCCAGGTTACGCCTTGGAGGAGGTAGCGGAAAATAATTTGAACGAGCTCGTCAATAGAAATTTAGTGATGGTGGTACAGAAGAAGTTTGACAGTCAAATAAAGACATGTCGTCTTCATGACATGGTACAAGAGTTTTGCAAGATGGAGGCTACTAGAGAATGTCTTTTTCATGAAGTATCTCTAACACCCGATCAAGCAATTCCAGATGATTCTCGTCGATTGTGTATCCCATCACGTTTTCTAGGTGATTTTCTGTCCAGAAAACCATTCGCGGAACATGTCAGGTCTTTCTTATGCTTTTCCCCAACCCAGTTGTCTCCGCATCTAACGAAACTCCTGCACGGAGCGTTTCCACTCTTAAGGGTTTTGGATGTTGAGCCCATCAAAATTCTTTTTTCCAAAGATTTTTATAAGCTTTATCATTTGAAGTATATGGCTTTCTCAGGTGACTTTATGGCCATTCCTCCAACATTTTGTAGATTTCTGAATTTACAAACTCTTATATTTAATACAACTAGTAAAAAGGCGCGCTACTTAGAATCAAGATGGGAAATATGGAACATGTTACGGTTGAGGCATCTGCACAGTAACGTTCCTGTACGATTGCCAAGCCCCAATAGCCCAAAAGGTGAAATTTCTTGCCTGCGAACTCTTTCTATGGTTGCACCAGAAAGTTGCAACAGTTGTGTGCTTGTAAAGGTTGGTAATCTCAAAAAATTGAGTATTAAAGGGAATATGGCCCCTTTTTTTTATATTAACAAGAAAGGATTCAGCAAACATGGAGAGTTAAAGCGCCTGGAAAATTTGAAACTATTGAATGATGTCTTTACAACGAGTTCAGTGCTTCACCTTCCTCCAAATTTCTTCAGATTTGCTCGTACACTAAAGAAGTTAACTTTATCGGACACAAGGTTTGATTGGCGTGAGGCAATTGGACTGGAGCAGCTGGAATGCCTTGAGGTTCTAAAGTTGAAAGATGCTTTCACCGGAAAGTCATGGAAGCTAGAGGTAGGTTTTAGCGAACTCCAATCCTTGTCGATTGATACAGCAGATTTTGAAACATGGGAGGCTTCAACTCATCATTTCCCAAGACTTAGGCACCTTGTTCTTATTTACTGCGATAAACTTGAGGCTGTTCCAGCTACGTTCGCTGATATACCTAGCCTTCGAGAGATGAGGCTTGAAAACACAAGCAAAGCGGTCAGATCTGCAAAAGAAATAGAAAGAAAGAAACAAGAGATGCAATTTCAAAACAACATTGAATTCAAGCTTACTATATCTTTCGATGTTGATTACAAGGCCACACAATGAAAATGAAGGTCAGTAGAATTTATTTTGTCATTGGAATTATTTAGTCTCCTGTACAGTTTTTACCAAGTGTTTGTCGACATGACTGTATTCATATCTAGCTTTTACCATTGTCTGAGAGATTATAGTAAGATTGTTTTGCATGCCATGACTTCTATTTGCTAGAATGTCCTGTGTTTCTATATTTTATGTGATTATTCGTTCTTCGGAGACTGGAGGTTTCATAATTAAGTAATTTATTTCCCTTACATTCTTGCCATGCATTTTTCTCTAACGTAGACTTTGCGGTATTGTTAGTCCAATATTGTCATAATAATCATTCAGTTCTTTCCATGTATGTTAGCCAACTCCAGTTCTATCTTTAGTTGACTTTTATGGTTACCAGCTGGAGTACTGTGATTAATTTAGTTATTTAACAGTCTCTTGCAGAAATGCAGGGTAAGGCTGCGTACGATAGACCCTTGTGGTTTGGCATTTCCCCGGACCCCGCGCATAGCTGAAACTTAGTGCACCAAGCTGCCCTTTTTATTGCCACACCCCAAAAAGATTCCAAAGAAACCTATCTGCAACATTGTTTCTTTCTAGATTTCACTAATTTTCTTCTAATTGTTTTCTCCTTTTTGCAGGAGGGAATCAGAGGAATGGCACTTATTCGAGCCTGAGATCATAGACAAGTCGAATGCTCTTTCATATGGAGTCAGCCGCATTTCATGTTTTCTGCAGGCTATTCGTGCCTGTTCCAATAAAAATCCCGTTTGCGTTTTATTATTCTGAAGGCGTAAATTGTATGAGCTCCACTTTCTGCTTTAAACACCTTTTCTAGGTTTCATACCTTTTCAAGTTCTCAATTATGTGAAATTGTTTTCTTTTTGAATGGTTAAAACAGCTCTGCCTATCCAGTTTGTTGTGATGTATTTATTTGCTTTACTGTTGTTTTCTCTGCTTAAGCATGGGTACCAGCCTGAAAGACATGTTGCTTCAAACAGATAAACAGCTACGAATTTTATTTGGCATGTGTAATATCAGAGATGAATTGTGGTTATCTTCAAATTTATTGGTTTCAATTTTAAATTATCATTTGCTTCCCTTATAGGTCTAAATTGGTTGAAGATGGATGAACAATGTATAACACCATTTAGTTCTACCATGCAACCAGTGGCGAAGCCAGAAATTTTATTTAGGATGTTCAAACTTGAAAGAAGTAAAAAAAAATTCTCGATAAAGGGTGTTCAATATATGTTATATACCTCTAAAATTCAATATTTTACTTATATATACAGCGTAATTTTTCGACGAAAGATAGTCAGTTGACCATCGACCATCTTAGGGCTATGTAGCTTCGCCCGTGAATGCAACACCTCACCCAGTTACTCTTCCATTTGTATGACTTGTATATGGAATGAATACCTATTTTAAATTAAAGGGATACTATTGTTTAACTATATATGATTAAGTAGTGTTTTTGGGCATTAGAGCTATGATGGAATTTCTTTTTTCTTTTCATGGAATTTCTCATTCTAAAAACATTCCTACACATTCAGACTCGTCTTATAAAAGAACTAATATGTACCTTGTATAGGAGCAAATTTGGAATGTTGTTGGTGCTACAAAATTTGTTTGATTGTGTTTGTATTGTTTACCTATATAGTTGATACATAAAAAAAAATTGTTTGTTGAATAACGATACTAATAATTGTTCAATTAGGGGTCGATTGGTATGAAGTATAAGTAGATATCACTACAACATTACACATCTATAGTTATGAAAAGCACTGTAGCTAAATATGAAAATTTTCGTGGCAAAACACTTTAGCCACAATTATTTTTCCGTAGCATTCGTAGCAAAATGTAGCGTAGCTAAAAGTCAGCTACGGACTTTATATGATCTGTGGCTAAGGACTAATACTTATTGCTACAGAAATTTTTTATGTTGTAGCTATGATGGTAAAAGGCTTTTGCTACAAAAAAAATATACTTATACCAAATGATTTTATTCTTTTGGCACGACGAACAAATTTGTAGTTATCTTCATATTGTAGCCACGAAATGTTGTATTGTAGCAAAAGATTTAATTTATTTGCTATGCAAACTCAAATTTTGTGGCTATTTCTTGAGCTTAGTCTCGTGGCAATAGTACTCATGTTTAGCTACAATTTAAAAACTCCATAGCTATGAATTGAAATATTTGCCATAAACCTTTTCATATTATAGCTAATATTCCATACTTTTAGCCATGAAATATATAGAACTATAGCAAATGATTTTCTTCATTTGCTACGGAAAGTGAAAATGAATAGCCATGTTCTTGATACGTGGCTATTGTAGGAGTATATATTTAGCTACAAATTGAAAAACCCATAGCTAATATTCCATTCTCTTTTGCCATGAAGCATAAAATCTTAAGCAATAAATTTTCTTCATTTGCTATGAAAATAAAAATATATATCTACGTTCTTATTATGTGGCAATATGTATGTTTAGCTACAAATTTAAAAAATTCATTGCTACTAATTAAAAAATTGCCACAAGCATTATTAGCCACAACAATTCATATAAAGCCTATTTAGAAATACAATCAAATTTTGGCAATGAAACACATAGGCAATTGTAGCATAAGATTTTCAATTACGTAATAAACGCAATATATTAGTAAAAAGATTTAACAAAGGTTCAACAATATCATTCCAAATATTAAAACATCGTTTGAAACATATCAATAAGCTTTGACAAGAGGAAAAACATTATTCATGTGCCCGTCGACCTTGATGCTTTTATAACTCCTCCACAGGCTGCAATAACAATAGAAAAAAAAGTACATGACTAAATGATACAATGAAGCATTTTTTATATAAAAAATTAAATTTTATTTTTAATATGAATATTACCTTAAAGAAATCACATATATACTAAATTACTAGTATAAAAAGATAGTAATAAAAGTCTAATAAGTTACTTACCGTTAGATCTGTATCATTTTGTTGTAGACCTTGTGCTACAAGTATAATTCAAAAATTTTCTTCCCATTGTTTACTCATTTCTACTAATTGATTATTTATATCTTTCTTGATTTTTTCAACTTGTTCCTTAGCTTCCCTTCTAACTTCTTTCACACGCTCATTTGCCTCTTTTCTGATCAATTCTAGTTGCTTTATAAGTTGTACTTTTGTTGGTTTATCACCAAAATATTGACTGATATTTTTTCCGAGGCCATATGCGCGAAGATATCCATTTTTTTCGGCCCCGAATACTTTTTCGAAGATATCATCATCATTTAAAGAAATTTCTCCTTCTTTTTGCTGCTTTTTAAATTGGTCAAATTGGTCCTACAATCAAAAAATGCAAATCAATCAAATATACGTACAAGTGTGTAATATAAAAGGAGATAAAAAGAAAAGAGAACACATTGACATTACAATAACATCTTGTTGAAAAGCATCAACTTTAAGAGTTCAGAATTTTCGGACAAATTCTTCACAGTGCTTTAAAATAAAAAATCAAACAGATATGAAAGGAAACAAATATAGACCAATCAACACACACTTACTGCCCCAAAATTTCAAAAGTAACAAAGAAGAAGAAGTAAATTTCATATATTTAAGATAGCACAAAAAGAAATCACTAGGATTCCATTTCTTAACAAAGTTGAACCAAAAAGTAAAAAAAGGGATATGTGCCGATAATGTAAGAACAAGAAAATTTGCTGAAGTCTGCAGAATTAAACAAAATAACAGAAATTTAAATGCATAAATTGGGATAGAGACATAGGAAGAAATTAGAACCTTTGCTTCTAGTGATGACAAGTTGATTCAGACAAGTAATAAAAAAATCTTGCACCTCACTTTTTGGCTTTCTTTTGTGCTTTTAGTGTTTTAGGGTTTTTTTGCTCTCTAATCTTTCTATAGAAAAGGAACGGCATATTACTCTCTAATAGAATTAGGAGGCTTTAATTTAGGCACAAAATATTTAGAGGGAAATAATATGGAGGGAATTCTTTTGTTTTTGTTAATTCACGTGTTTCAAATTGAGAATTCATGTTTCCCTCCTAATAATCAATAACCACAAAAAAGAAGCTCCATATTTTTTTAATATAATAAATTATTATTTGATGTGCAGCAAATATTAAATAAATTATTATTTAATATAATAAATTATTAGTGTACGTGTATTATGTGTGTTCCTCATCTCAATGAGTAATTCTTTATAAGAAAATTACATAACTTTTAAAAATATTGTATTTGAATTATAAAAATAAAGTGTAAGATTCTAAAAATTTTAATATTCATCCTATATGACTAACTCAATAAAAGCAAAACTCTAGTCATAAAACTCCTCAATTATTATTCAATATGTTCACCTTAAAAAAAATTCCAACCATATAATTATAATTTTATCAATTCAACTTTACAAGTTATCGTACTTTCTTTTTAGTTTTAGTAAAAACACATAGTCCTTGAAGATTTAAGAATTTTTTGAAAATATTTTTCAAAGTAATTCTCAAGTTCATTCGAGAAGACACATAGTTAATTAGCTAGATTAATAAGAAAAGATTTAATATGTAAAATTTAAATTAATTTCAAAGTCCTAATATTAGAGAAGTTCTCTGGAGATGCCTGGAGGCAAAAGGTGTGTCGGTTCCCTACATTATGGCGATTAAGGACATGTATGATGGGGCTAAGACTCGGGTTAGGACAGTAGGAGGCGACTCTAAGCATTTTCCAGTTGTAATGGGGTTATACCAAGGTTCTGCACTCAGTCCGTTCTTATTCGCCCTGGTGATCGACGCGTTAACACACCATATTCAAAGGGAGGTACCATGGTGCATGCTATTCGCTGATGACATAATTCTGATTGATGAATCGCGAGCCGGTGTTAACGAGAGGCTAGAGGTTTGGAGACAGGCTCTTGAGTCTAAGGGTTTCAAGCTGAGCAGGATGAAGACGAAATACCTGGAGTGTAAATTCAGCGCTGAGCCAGGGGAAGTGGGCGTGGATGTGAGGCTTGAATCACATGTCATCCCGAGTAGAGGCAACTTAAAGTACCTTGGTTCGATTATCCAGGAGGGAGGGGAGATCGACGAGGATGTCACACACCGTATTGGGGTAGGATGGATGAAGTGGAGGTTAGCATCTGGAGTCCTGTGTGACTAGAGAGTGCCACTAATACTCAAAGGTAAGTTCTATAAAGCGGTGGTTAGACCGGCCATGTTGTATGGAGCTGAGTTTTGGCCCGTTAAGAACTCACATATCTAGAAGATAAAAGTAGCAGAAATGAGTATGTTGAGGTGGATGTGCGGGCACACTAGGATAGATAAGATTAGGAATGATGTTATTCGGTAGAAAGAGCACGTGGCTCCCATTGATGACAAGATACGGGAAGCGAGGCTTAGATGGTTCGAACATGTTCAAAGGAGAAGCCTAGATGCTCCGGTACGGAGGTGTGAGCGGCTGGTTGTGGAGGACACGAGAAGAGGTAGAGGGCAGCCTAAGAAGTATTGGGGAGAGGTGATCAGACAGGATATGGCGAGGCTCCAGATTTTCGAGGACATGACACTTGATAGGAAGATGTGGAGGTCGAGTATTAGAGTTGTAGGTTAGGATGTAGTTGAGTCTTGACTTACTTTGTACCATTATGGGACTAGCCAGGTAGGGTTTTGTCTAAGATAGCTAGTGACAATGTTGTGTTTTACTACTTCGCTTTTCAGTGCATGTCCTATTTACTAGCTATCGCTTTTGCTTTGCATCTTTCTTCTGTATTTCATGGTGTTCCTATTTTTTCTATGATTGTTGTGGTGATACTAATATTGTCTCCTTTTGTCCTTTTATCTTTTTGTTTTCTTAAGCCGAGGGTCTTTCGGAAACAGTCTCTCTACTCCTTTAGGGTAGGGGTAAGGTCTGCGTACACACTACCCTCCCCAGACCCCATTAGTGGAATTTTACTGGGTTGTTGTTATTGTTGTTGTAACTTAAATTATAATTTCCTCTATTGTGAAAGTTGTTTTTAAATAGTTTAAAAGGCGAACGATTTTTCGCTAAGGGACTTTGTGCCTTTAACTTAATATAGTATAGATGACTTATTAATCATTGAATAATATCTAAAGTTATTATGTAATGACCCGACCGGTCGTTTTGCTTTTTAGAACCCCGATCTCCTAAATAAGACTCCCTGTATGTGCTTTTATTATTTTATGACTTGCAGGGATGGTTAGTTCGGGATTTGGAAAGGTTCGGGTTAAAATCGGAATAAGTAGTTCCTTAAGGTTGGCTAAAAGGACTAAGTTTGACTTCGGTCAACATATTGCTTCCTATCTTTGTTGATACCTGGTCCTAAAGCTCCCGGAAATGACATCAGTGTCTACTTAGAACCTTTGATAGATGAATTGCGAGAATTGTGGTATAATGGAGTTAATACATATGATGCTTCAAGAAAGGAGAACTTTTGTATGCGCGCTACACTCTTATGGACTATAATAATTTTCCAGCATATGCATACTTGTTTGGATGGAGCACAAAAGGAGCTTTGGCTTGCCCTTCATGCAATAAAGAGACTACATCTACTCGTCTAAAGTATGGTTGTAAGTTCTCTTACATGGGTGCTCGTAGATTTTTATCATCTAATCATAAGTGGCGGGGTAATAAACGCGACTTTAATGAGAAAGTAGAAAGAAGACCTCCTCCTAAAATTCTCTCTAGTGATGATATTTTAAATCAGTTCGCTAGTTTGGAAGACATTAAATTTGGTAAGACTCAGAAGAAACAAAGACACGAAAAGGGTAAAGCCACTCATAACTGGAGGAAGAAAAGCATCTTTTCAGACTTCATTATTGGAAAAATAATTTAATACGTCACAATTTAGATGTCATGCACATTGAAAAAAAATGTGTGTAACAATATTATTGGGACGTTATTAGATATGAAAGGAAAAATAAAAGATAATCCGAATGCTCGTCGTGATTTGAAGGAAATGGGTATAAGAAGAGATTTGCATCCAACTCAAAGAGATGGAACATGGTATTATCCAACAACATGCTATATTTTATCACCAGATGAGAAGTCTAAAGTATGCAAGTTTTTGAAAAATATTAAGGTTCCAGATGGTTATTCTTCGAATCTATCACGGTTCGTAAAGTTAAAGGATCGTAAAATTTATGGACTGAAGAGTCATAATTCTCTTATTCTTTTGGAACAGCTGTTTCCTTTTGCAATACGCGGAGTTGTGCCGAGCAATGTCTATGCTGCTATCACTGAGCTAAGTATTTTTTTCAGAGAGTTATGTTCAAAAATAGTAAGAGTTGATCTGTTAGATCAGCTTGCAACTCAAATCCAATAACATTGAGCAAATTAGTAAAAATATTCCTACCAATATTTTTTGATATTATGGTGCACTTGGTCATTCATCTTCCAAGAGAGGCTAAGATTGTTGGACCTGTACAATACAGGTGGATGTACCCAATAGAGCGGTATGTTTTTGCATTTCATAATTTTAATTTAATGTGATTTATTAATTTATCATGCTAAGCATTTAACTGCCTATTATTATTATTATCATATAGGTTCTTGCGCAAATTGAAATATTATATTCGTAATAGATGTCGACCTGAAGGATCTATTGCAGAAGGATATATTGTTGAAGAAAGTCTGATATTTTGTTTAAGGTATTTACATGGAAGTGGGAAAGAGAATAATCTAGTGGACAAAAATTGTGAAGGTGATCAGGTTGAGCCATTTAGTGGATTATCAATTTTTGAACAAAAGGATTGCCCTTTATTAATAGATACATCTAGAAATCTTGAAGAGCTTGAGTGAAAACAAGCTCAGCTTTATGTTTTAAGAAATTGTGAAGAAGTTCAACCATTTTTACGGTATGTTTCTTTATGCCATTGTACATTTCTGCTTGATTTTGTTAGCCTTTTCTCAACTATTATGGTTATTTTAAACAGTGAGTACGAGAGTGAGTACGAGCAGAATAATAGGAACATGAACTTCGACGATTGGTTTTTCCATCGAGTAAGTTTTCATTACATTGTTAATTTTTATTTGTAATACTTCTTTAGCATCATTATTTTATTTATTTATTTATTATTATACAGATTGTGCAAATGCGCAAGAAAGGAAATTCACATGTAAGTTGCGAGTTGTATTCTTTGGCTAGAGGTCCTTTTGATGGAGTCCAAAGATTCAAAGGGTATGAGATAAATGATTTTTGATTTCATACTAAACAACTCGAAGGAAACAGGGCGAAGAAAAATAGTGGTGTTTTAGTACGAGGAATAATGAACGGTCAAAATATAAATTATTATGGTACTCTGACTGAAATAGTAGAACTTCAATATCTCGAAGGTAAACGGATTGTTTTATTTAAATGTGATTGGTTGGATGTTGATCACATTGGAAAAGGAGTGAAGATAGATAAATATGGCTTTGTTAGTGTCAATACTAAACGAAAGCTAGCAACAAATGAACCATTTATGCTTGCATCTCAAGCAGAACAAGTTTTTTATGTTAAGGATAATCTTCATCCCAATTGGTCTGTTGTCTTGAATGGTCATTCTACTTATTTTACTGGTGGTGCTCTCAGAGAAGAAACTTTTCAACAAAATGCTCAAGAGTTCTCGTGTAGGTTTGAGGAAGATGAAGACTTTATGAACTGGAGAAGAAATGATCTTGACTTTATCAGCACTAATGTTACCTTAGATGATGATATTATTGAAGACATCGAATCAGAACCTGAAACTGATGATGAAGATTTATTACTGTAAACTATTTAGAAGCCTTATATGCATATGCGTTTATCCTCAAATAATGTTAAAATTTTACTTATTTATTTGAGAGACGATGTTTAGTTCTTTATTATTTTAAAGAATTTATGTATTACTAT